TCCACATACTGAATTAGTACTCACTAACAATAAGGAAGAAGCCACTGATAGGCTACACTTAAAATCATGAAACACACACACACACACACACACACACACACACACACACACAAAAGCAAAGGGCTATATGACATATTCCTATTTATATGAAATACAAAAAGCGAACTTACTCCTAATGACCAAGAGCAAATCATAGGATTACAGCTCAGTGGAGGAGCGTTTGCATAGCACATACAAGGCCCTGGGTTCAGTTTCCATAGCCACGGAGTATGGCGTGCGCTACAGAGGAACATGAGGAACGTTTCAGGGCTGACAGCAATGCTGTACGGTTGCCTGTGGCTGGGATTTCACGGTACATTCCCCCAGCAAACGATCACTGAGTTGTCATCCTAAAGATGAGGTTTGTTGTATCTAAACAGAGCTGATTTGAAAAGGTTGTCATGGTGTTCTGGAATCATGGCTCCTTTCTCTCTCTGGACAAAAGATTCCTGAAGCAGAGATTAACAAAATTATCTCACAGAGTTGAGATCTTGCTACATACTCAGAAAACCAGATGGATTACTTTCTCGGCCACTAGATGGCAGAACAAACGTAGAATGCTCCAGCCACTTCTGAATTAAGATTTAAGAATGAGGCAATCACACCAGATGCAAACCTGTTCGTATTTAACTGAAACTTCGAGGCGACACATATTTCGTTGCTCCATTTTACATAGAATTATTTCTAAACTGGGCTTGGTGGCTCATCCCTGTAATCCTACAGAGCTGGAGGCTGAAGATGATGGCGCAACACAAATTTGAGGTCAGCAGGGTCTACATACCAAGTTTCCTCCCACCCTGTGCTACATATACGGCCCTGCCTCAAACAACAAACAAGACAGGCAGGTATAATGAAGCATAGGATGATCATACCTCTAATGCCAGAACTTGAGAGGTGGAGGCCAGTTCAGAGGATCAGTTCGGAGCCAGCCCCAGCTACCTAGCTAGCAGGTTCTAGATCAGCTCGTACATGAAACTCTGACAAGCCAAACCAAGCAGAGCTAGCCAGCCAACGAGTGAAAATAATTATTTTTGAATGTAGTATGTTCAACATCCGCTGACTGAATGATTGAGCACTATGGGGTCTTGAGTCTCTGGGAGATGGTGTGCTAGAGGAAAACCTTCTGTCATCAGGAATCCCGGCACTGGCCTCAGCACAGCCACACAGAACTGACCCTAGGAGGGCGGGAGTGTGAGCGCTGGTGGGCCTTCTTCAATGGAAGGCAAACGAAGCGGCATGGAAGTCAGTTTCTGGAACTCTGGCTGTGGAACTTCCGGAACTTCAACCTGCGGAAAAGGCAACCAGCCTTTCCTTGCATCCAATTCATTATTTCACATAAATTTATGCTACTTGGCTTCTTTGAACTCATGGTAGCTGGGGATAGAGCTAAGCTGTGCAGGGCTTCCCCAGCAAGAATGGGGCCCTAGGTCTCATCTCCAGTATCAAAGAACCAAGTGGGGAGCAGTGATACATGCTTCTGACACAGCCTGGCAGGGTGTGTGGTTCTACATACTTGTAACAGAGCCTGGCATGCTCTGGAGCGACACAGGTATAACACCGACTGCTGTGGTAGGCGGTGATTCACACCTGTAACCCCAGTGACGTTAACTTCTCTGTCTCACCTAACACCCACTTACTATCAGATAACTTTTAGACTACACTCCTAACCTGAGCACCCCCATTCTCTACCAACCCTGAAGCTAACAACGAGACAGCACCTGAATTCCATGGATAACAAAAATGGCTGCGTTGTTTTCCCATCTTGATGTAGCCTGCCTAACTGACGATCAACAATATGTTGTATAAATATATTGATTAACAGCTATAAAAGTCCACACTGCCTCTCTCCTGAGGGAGCAAGTCATTCAGGGCAGCTTGAATCTATACTCTGGGGACATCCATCACTCCTATTTGGCTCAGGACAAACCATTTTCTTATTCCTCCCTCCATCTTTCCTTGGCATCCCTCTGTTGTCAATCCAGAAATGATTCAATAATCCCTGAATTCCTAGACTGAAGTGATTCTCTTGCCTCAGGGTTGGGCAGGCTAGAAGTATTGCTGTCCTCTATCTTCCTGATTTCTACTGATTATAAATACCTTATAGTAAACAGCCCTAACCATCTCACTGATGCTTTCCAAACACCACCCACCATGCAGATGCCTGTGCAGGTTAGAAAGGCCGAAAGATCCCTGCTGGGTCACGGGAGTTGTGAGTGGTCTGTCCTGGGAGCTGAATTCCTAGTCCTCTGCAAGAGTAGCAAGTGCTCTCAAGGCTGAGTGGCCTTCCCAGGCTCCTCCACCCAACCTCGTGTGGTGAATGGCAGAAATGCCCTGTGACCTGGTCAGACTTCAAATGGCAGCTGTTAAAAATTAAACCTGGAGTCAACACATAACTCAGTACCCCCATTGCTTGGGGGTGGGGGTGGGTGAATCGTATTTCAAGTAATCTTCAGGCTTGAATAATGCACCACCGGTGTCTCCTGCCCCAGATGTAGATGAGAATCACTTGCAAATGCTTTTCTCTATGGAGCTCTCCTACAGTCTTGGAACTTTCTATGTAGACCAGGCAGGCCTTGAACTCACAGAGGTCCACCTGTCTCTGCCTCCCAAGTGCAAGAATTAAAGGCAAGCGCCACTACACCCAGCTCACACCTTTTAGAATTATAGTTTCATATGATCACATTGGGTGATGATGATTCAATCGCCCTCTGTGTATGAAAAAAGAGAAATTTAAGATGCTCATGAGGTAGAATTCGTAATATTTAAAAGTCGATCATATTTCTTGAACTTTCAAAATCTACGTAGAAGGGCTGAGAGATAAGAGTGAGGATGGATGAACAACAAAGCTCCTAATATTTTACCAGTTCTGACTTACGAAAACGATAACTAGAGAAAGCCCAGCCTAATATCAAACTCACATTCAAGTATGAATTCAACAGTGCCATAATCTTGTCTCTCTCATCATTAAGCTCTGAGTGATTTCAAAGTAAACCCTGGACCTTTATCTCATCATACTCCTACCTTTGATGTATAGTTTTGGAAAACAACTGCAATTGTCTTTACCATAATAATTTTTTGGCATCAACTTACAGCTAGTCCACACTAAGTTCCTCTTTAGTTTCTGTATGGTTACACGGACGACAGGTGGGCAGGTATGTTCTGCATTAAGCTCTGTAGCAGAGCAGGCTAAGCATCAAAATGGACTACTCACACCACTGATTAGCTGACCACACAGGCAACAACCAGGAGTAGAGCTTAATAGCCAACCTTTCTAAACAAACTGTACCAAATAGCCACGAGCTTCCTTCTGTCTTAATCCATTCGCAGGGAGAAGCCGAAGCGGCCCGATGCTTATCTGATATAGCACTCATTTTTCTGTCCTTCTGACTCCCTTTCAGCTGGGAGGCCAGCTGTTTTTCCTAGGCCCCTGAAACACTTACTCCATGGAATAAAGTGTCTAGAAGAAAGACAGCAATTAAGGTCTTCAGACTAAGACTTTGTGATTTTTGTCACTCAAAAATTTTGGGGTGGACTGGGTCAAGTTCCTAATTGAAGTGTTGCCATTCAAAGGTCATGGGTCGTAAATGGCATGAGGTCCACATGCTTACATATAGCCCTAGAGAAACCAGAACTGTTAAACACTCAGGCCTTTTTCTTCAATGGACAAAACTGATACCCGTTCACCTGGAAGGCTTGAGTGGATACTGTTTAATAACATGGTGATCTTTTGCTCTTCTGGAGCCAGCCCTCATCCGATCCCCTTATCCTGAGCACTGATTCAGTCAACAGAATCCATTCTCGTGGAAGAGGTCACAAGCACTTTGCAGAAGACATAGCCCTTGCGAGCGAGTTTGATACAGTCATCCCTTAAGCTTTGTTGAGATAACTGTCAAACTCCCGACGTTTGAACCAGCCTGAGGGGCTGACTAAGCGGTTGCCTCTCGGCTTCATTTCTCTACTGGCAGGAGAGCTTGCAGGGACCCCCACAATGGGTCATGCCAGGGTAAGCCCCCTCAAGGCTGCCTCCCACCCACTTCCAATGCCATTCACTGACAGCCGAAGCTGGCTCAGCTCTCCATCCTGTAGTCTGGCTCACATTCTGGGTTTGTTTGCTTTTCCACAGCTCATCCGCTTCACAATCAGTTACATGAGATCAGTGGTTCTCTACCTTCCTAACGCTGTGACCCCTTTAATACATCTTCTCATGTTGTGGTGACCCCAAGCATGAAAATTATTTCTTTTGCTACTTCATAACTGTAATTTTGCTACTGTTACAAATCATAATGTAAAGAACTGATATGCAGGAAATCTGATTTGTGACCCTGGTAAAAGGGGCATTCGACTCCAAAGGGGTTGCCACCCACAGGTTGAGAACTACCAATTAGATGAACCAGAGGTCATCAACCTGCACTTTGTACTTTTAGTCACAGCGGTAGCCTTTACTAAACAAAAAGGTTGCATACTTCAGCATGGCAGATCTGGGCATAGTGAGTATGGTACCCACCCGTGGGGTCCCACTTTCTCATCTGCAACATACAGAAACTCATATTCAAGCTGAGTGTTTTAATGAACACAGAAAAGGGAGAGGTGTACAGGAGGAGAAGAGGGATCGGGAGTGGAATTGGGAGGGGATGAGGGAGGAGGCTATAGCTGGGATACAAAGTGAATAAATTGTAATAATTAAAAAAATAAATAAATAATTTAAAAATTAAAAAGAAACTTAAAAAACAGGGAGAGAGAGAGAGAGAGAGTGGCCAACAATGAGTCGCAGACAAGCAAGCAGTTGCTCCAAGAATGAACATTCTAGCTGGTGATGAGACTCCAGGAGCCCACATCACAGCATCACTCACTCCACTAAAATACTTACTAAGAGTCCCAGGGAAATTGCATCTCTTTTTTTTAACCAACAGGAGAAGACATGCACAACGATAATGTGTCTGTTTGCAATGGGCAATACCTACGGCAGAAGTGGAGAGGCCGGGGGCTTTTGGAGAATAAATTGTCTTTACAGGCTTTGCTCTGCAGCAGAGGGAGGAGAGTCTCCTCTGGGCCAAAAACATGCTAGAGAAAAGAGACATTGAAAAAGGAGTCAATGTGTGCCAGTTACATCACTACCAGACGCCTGTGGGTGGCTGAGAACACAAGCTTCTATAAATATGATCACACTGGAAGTTTTTAAAATTGCATTTATTTATTGTGTGTGTCTCAGAGGACAACTTGTGGGAACTCAGTTCTCTCCTTTAACTGTGTAACTTCCAGAGATCCAACTCAGGCTGTCAAGCTTGGCAGCAAGCATCTCTCCCTACTGAGCCATCTTGGAGCCTGGAACACATTTTTGCAACTAGGCTAGCTTTCTTCCCACCCTCCTTTCCTATTGGATTCTTTTTCTATTCGATATTAGTCACTTCTGGAATCATTCTAGTGCTATTCTTTATCTTATAAAAAGAGATCCATGCCCAAACATTAGGCAGAGAAAGTCCAAATTGGAGCTGTCCAGTGGGACTCCCCCCCCCCTTTTAGGATCTCAAGGAACCCTGAGGAAGAGGAGAAGAGCTATAAGAGCTGGAGGGGTTGAGAACAACAGAACAGAGCCACAGACATCAACTAAGCAGGGCTCAAATAGATAAACAGATAGATGGGTGGATGGATAGATAGATAGATAGATAGATAGATAGATAGATAGATAGATAGATAGACAGATAGAAAGAAATACACTGTAAGCTGAGTGGTGGTGGTGGTGCACATCTTTAATCCCAGCACTCAGGAAGCAGAGACAAGTGGATCTCTCTGAGTTTGAGGAGGCCAGCCTGGTCTACAGAGAGAGTTCCAGGATAGCCAGGCTTCCATGGAGAAACCCTGTCTCAAAAATCCAAAGCAAACCAAAACCAACAACAACCCCCGAGCCTCCCTCCCCCCAAAAAAATCACCATTGTAAAGGAAATATGCAAGTGATTAAAATAAAAATGAAGTCACTTATGTTCTTGTGTTAACCAGAACAAAACCAAATATATAAATCTGTCAGTACCACAGGCTAGCACAGAGGCCACCACAATTTTATACACAACCTGGGACCAAGGCATCTTGTTACAAACCATAAGGCAAAGGGCAAGTGTTTCAAAATCTCTTATGTAATCCTTTTGGTGTTGAAAAGGATTACACTTCCTCATGTGTAAACATAACTGTTACTCCGTTTTAAGGTCGTTTTAGAGGCCTACTGCCTCCCTCTGCTAACCTAAGCCTAGTCCTGGAAGCTTCTAGCCTCTGTACACTCTAATCTAGGCCTAGAATACTTTCAGCCTCTGAGACTTACTACTGAACAAGCTCACACTTCCCAGTTCTTCTAAACTCTAGCTGGCTGGTTTAGTTCAGCTGTTCTGGCTCAAACCCCTCTCCTAGCTGACTGATTCAAACTGGCTTCTTTCAGCTTCTGATTGAGTTGCTCTGCCTGGCCTCAAACTAATCTGCTCTAATATTCTGGCTCCTTCTCATTCTCTGGTTCCTTCTGTCTTTACCTGTGTCTAGCTTGTTCTCTTTTTAACCTGCTTCGTAAAACTCTCCTGGTAAAAGTGCTTCTGAATTCCATGAACTGAGCAGCCACAAAGTCAACTTCACTGCACTGCCTCTCAACTCACTAACTCAACTGAACTGCCTGAATAGAACTGACTAGAACTCAGAGGTCTAAGTCTCTTGTCTCCTGAGTGCTGGGATTAAATGCATGTACCACCATACTTGGACCTAAGCTTTCCTTTACCTGAAACTTGCTCTAAAGCAGACTGGCCTTGAACTCAGAGATCTGCTTGCCTGTGTCTGTATTCCAGCTGGATCACGCAGACCTAGAAGGTCTTTGGATGTGATCTCTTGCCAGGGCAGCCATGTTCTGAATTAAAATTTCTTTACACCCTTGTATGCTGAACATGGTGTCATATGCTTGTCGTCCTAAGAGTACGGCAGGAGAAGCATATGTTTGTGGCTAGCCGGGGCTTCATAGCAAGAATGTCTCAAAATACTGAGTGACTGGGATACTACTCAGTGATAGAGAGCTTGTCTAGCACAGGGAACGTCCAGTGCTTAATCACAGTACCTTAAAACAAAAGAAAAACCCCAAAGCCACCTCCTCTTGAATTCCCTCTTTGAATATGTCCATAGCTTCCCTATGGCGTTGCATTTCCCTCATGGTGCTCTGCTATTCTTAGGTGTTCTTTTGAGAAATTTCCTCAGATCCATCAATGTTTTAATGAGATTGATTAAACTGGAGATTTGTGAAGATATTCTAAATTAAATTATAAAACTTTTAGGCCAAGTATGGTGGTGGTGTCCCTTTAGTCCCAGCACTCCAGAGGCAGAGGCAGAGGCAGAGGCAGGTAGATCTCTGTGAATTCAAGCCCAGCCTGATCTACATAGTGAGACCAGGTCTTGATGATGATGATGATGATGATGATGATGACGATGATGACAGCAACAACAACAATAAACAGACTCTTTGATTTCATCATGAGCAAGAAATTTCAGAAAATAAAAAGATAACTTCTAGAAGTTGATCTTTTTATAAAGTTGTCAAATTTCAGAACAATGTGGTCATCTGGGTAAAGGTCACTAGTAGTGAAAAGACAATTTTTAGGTTGAGCCCAGAGAGAAGCACCTGCAATCCTAGCTACTCCAGAGTGTGAGGCCGGAGTATCAGAACACCCATCCCCTAAGTCTCTAAAGGGTCTAATGTGGTCCAGTCTAGCCTTCAAGTTCCTAAGTAGCAAAGGCTAGTACTGAACTCCTGATCCCCTTGCCTTGACTTCCAAAGTGCTGGAATTGCAGGAATGTGCCACCACACCTGGCTTTTTCAAACAGGTAGTTTGGAAACGGGGGATTCTAGTAGGCCCTTGACAAACAACGAGAAGCTATGAAGCTTAGGTTATCCTGGAAGATGGGCCTTTCCTAAAAAAAAAAATCATCCAATAGTCCCCAGTTACACAAGAAGAACACATTGGGAATGGATTCTGTACCTGCAGGGAAACCATTTCGTCTCAGAAAAGCAGGGAGATACGGGCAATGAAACTTCATAACTGTTCTGCTACTTAGGATTGGGAGAAATCCCAGCAAACAGAACTCCTCATTCCCTAGCTTTTGTTCTGAGACTGTTCCCAAGTGTATGAGACAGTTACACCAGTAGATAGGGTTTCTTCTTTGCACCGATCAAATCTTTGACCAGGAAGGGTGGGATGATGGCTCACTGGGTGAAGCATTTCCTGAGCACACATTGGGACTTGAGAATGGATTTGCACTTGTGACAAGTCTTGCCTAGGGCAAATGCCAATGCTTCTACTATAAAGGCCCAGTCTGTGTGCTCCCCTGTCCCTTCAGACCTAGGGCCATGCACAGTTAGGCGAAGCTCTCCAGAACTCTTAGCTACATTCTCAGTTCTTAATTTGAAACATGGTCAAACTAAACTGTCTCCAACTACTTATGTAGCGTCAGGCTAGCCTTGGCTCCACCCTTGGCCTCTCAAGTAGCTGCCTGAGGCATATGTAGCCCCTTTGATTTTTGATTTGGGAAGCACTGTCTTGAGAATTAAATATAGTGGGTTGCCAACTTGCTAGAAATAGACTTTTTATTGTTAAGTTGGCTTATTGGCTTTTCAATCACCAAGAGGCAAACCCACTGTATTCAGCCTCAGATTTTGAGCCTGAGAAGCAAGCTAGCTTTCCTGTTTATTTTTGAAAAAAGGTCTCATGTGGCCCAGGCTGTCTTCAAACTCAGTTTGTAGCTGAGGATGACCTTGAACTCCTGATCCTCTGGCCTCCACTGCCTAAGTGGGATTACAGGCTTATGCCATGACCCCCGGATGGCTTTTGCTTTTCAAATAAACACAATTAACAGTGTATGTTAATATTCACCAATAAAATAAACAAATGGATACAGATGTCAAGAACCTGGAAGAAAAATAGGTAGCTGGCTTTTGTTTTTTTTTCTAAGCACAAAGGTCTGTGAAGAAAACAGAAAAACATTAATGAGGATGACCCAGCCAATCTAATCATGGCACAGGGTATATAAAATCTATATTCAGATACATATGATCAACAGAAATATCAAACTGTCATTTTATCATCTCTAGATTAGACTGACTCGGAAGGAAGACTGTTGGCAACCTACAGATTCAAGGCTGGTGAATTATTGAAGGAAAAATGCAAATCTGGAAGGGACTGTCTCTGACATGAACTGATTGGCCTGCTCCTTGATCACCTCCCCCTGAGGGGGAAGCAGCCTTACCAGTCCACAGAGGAGGACAATGAAGCCAGTCCTGATAAGACCTGATAGACTAGGGTCAGATGGAAGGGGAGGAGGACCTCCCCAATCATTGGACTGGGGGAGGGGCATAGGAGAAGAAAAGGGAAGGAGGGTGGGGTTGGGAGGGAGTGGGAGAGGGGGCTACAGCTGGGATACAAAGTGAATAAACTGTAATTAATAAAAATAAAATTAAAAAAGAAAGGAAAAAAGTAAGCAAAGTATTAAAAAACCCAGTTTAAAAATGGTTACCATTTTTTAGTTTACAATTCAAACTAGCAAGTTACAAACCATATGAGGTAAACATACAGAAAGGATAGTCCGAGTGTTAGTAGCTTGAGAAAGTCCAGAATTGAGAGAGAGAGAGAGAGAGAGAGAGAGAGAGAGAGAGAGATATGGGGGTCAGATTAGCTGCAAGCTCAAGTTAATCAGAGACAACCCCCAAAGGGCTAGTGCTAATGAACAGGTCCGTGTCTGCTCTCAGCACTGCCATACGGGCTATTCCGCTTCGAGAATGCAACAGAGGGAGGTGAACAAGGTTGCAGCTTGGAAGAGCACAGAGAGGCGGTCAAGGCCACGTGAAGACAAGAAGCATGAAAAAAAAAAAAATCAGTCAAAGCTTATCAGCATAGGTGTGAAGAGGAGCCATTCAAAAACAGCTTTAGTGCTGGATGAGAGTGGGATTCTTGTAACCGTCAATTTCTCACAAGAGCCGCCTGATGCAGGAAGTGGGACACAGCACACAGGCAAAACTTTAGCAGAGTTACAGGCTGCGACAGGGAGCAGTTTTCCCCAGTCACCTATCCCTTAGGTGGCGCTGAGGCCCGCGGGTGGAATGTGCAATGACGGTTGGGCCGAACAGTAGCTGGAGGCTCAGGAAGCTGCAGGAATGCAGGGCCTTCGCTCGCCGCTGATACGACTGCTTTGTCTTTCAGCTTGCCAGAGTTTCCCTTTTCAACCTTGAACTTTCGAGATTCCAACCCTGGCACCGAATAAAAACAGCGGCGGTGGTGCACACCTGTGTCGGTGGAGGCAGGAGGATTAAAAAACTCAAGATAGACCTCTGCTGCATAACTACCTCGAGAACGAGAAACTGCCTCTAAATAAAACAAACCTAAAATTCTATCGCGGATGAACTGAAGTCAGTGTTGCCCTTGCAAGAACGCGTTTTAAGTTATCTCCAATTACACAGTCGAGAGCAAAAGGCCAAGGGCGTACTGGGGTCCGGGTATCTTGGAGCCCTTTTCTCCAAAGACAGTCTGGGAACCCCAAGGTCCGACGGATAGCCGCGTAGGACCGTTTCTCCAGACAGCCCACCTCCCTTTCGCTCCGGGTCCCGTCCCGCGCCAGCTTACCTGGTCCTCCCGGTTCGAATGCGCCCCTGGCCTCGGCCCGGATGTCGCAAGGTGGCGCGGGGGCGGGTCCCGGGTGAAAGGCGCTCTGGCTTCCAGACGCAGGGTGCAGCAGTGACCCTCGTGGAGGGCGGAGGAGGCGGGGCGGGGGCGGTGATTGACCCTGGCCGAGGATTGGCTCCGACATCAGGGCTAAGGGTACGGATTGGCTGCGGAGTTCTCCAATCCCGGGGCGCAGTGTGATGAGCAAAGCAACCAAGGGGACGGGCCACGGCTTTGGTAGCGAATCCTGGCTGAAATGGGTGTATGAGACTGTTTGGGGTGGGTAAATCTCGGCTGCGTGGATTCCGAGCTAGCTCGAGAGACTTTGGAGGATGCGCCAGGGGCCGGCCTGTGTGGTGTGCTGAAGGGCTTGTAGGTGTCTGTTTGTCTCCTCTGATGGAGCGAGAGAAGGAATCTTTCCTTCTGAGCTGTGAAGTGATGGCGGACCCAATGCGCGGAGGAGAGACAGAAGCAGAAAGACACCTAGTAACTGCGGAGGAAACCCCGACTGGGGGAAGGGAAGAGCGCGGAGGGACTGCTTTGGGGTGGAGGAGCGGCGGTGGTGGAGAAAAGTGAGGTTCTGTTAAGAGCCTAGCTTGGGGGTTAGATATTCTTCTTCTTGCCTTTAAAGAAGTCGAGGTGGTGGAGGGCGTGAGGGTGTCTGAGCGCTGCTGCCACCATACCTAGAGTGAAGACCGAAAGCAGGCGTTGGTTGGATGCCCCGTCCTTGGCACGATGAGCCGCTTCTGTGTTTTGGCATAAGAGGCCAACCTCAAACCCCCTCCCCTTCTCCCTAAACTTGAGGTCCCGTGGCTTTTGAATGCACTATGTATCTCAATTGGCGAGTGGCTCTTCCTGGCAGATGGCGTTTCACAGCTCCCGGAGGAGTGATGACAGTGAGCTTTTGTCCCTCTGCTAGTAGTCCTACAGGCCAGCTTGATCTGAGCCAAGACTTCATTTTTGAACCAAGTCGGTGGGCTTGCCCATTTTGGGGGTTCTTGGAGTTTCCCCCTTTGGACCTAAAACTCCCGACGATCTCAGAATGGCTTTGTCTGCAGTTGCCGTTCTGTTGATATTGCTGTGGTTGGACTGGGAAATACCATCAGACCATCGTTTGTTCTGAAGGTTTTTAACGTTAAGTGGCTGCTCGGTTGCTTTTTTTTCTTTTTCCTCCTTTCTGTCTTTCACGAACAACCATTACAGTAAACTGCTAGTTTGTTATTTCAAAGCACGATATGTGTTAGGAACACCGGGTTCCTAGTTTCGGATATCTAGACTGGCCACATGATGAAATGCTGCCTTCATTGTTTCTTTGAGTTGTGGTTTCCTTACTAGTTTGAATGTAATTTTTATGGCTGCAGCCCTCTTGGAGCACAATATAGAATCTATAAGTTGAAGTGTGTGTGTGTGTGTTTTTTTCCTTTGAGATAGGATCTCACCGTGCAACCCTTGACTGTTTTCATTATTTAGCTCAAGTTGCTCCCCAAATCTCAGAAACCCTTGTGCCTCAGCCTCCAAAGTCCCAAGCGATATAGGCGTCCAACTCCTTGTCCAGCTTGCAATTTGAAAGCATTGCTTCCTAGCTGGGCCATAATAGTGATTTTTGGCATGGTTTATAAGGCCTTAACAGAAATTGTGCATTTACCCACAGAAAAGTTGCTCTGTATCTTCCTATGTTCACCCACATTTACTTTCTCCGGATTGTACAATTTAGCTGCTAGCATTTGCTATTTAAACTAGTCAATCATCTTCATTTTTTTTTTTTTTTCAAAAAAGAATGAATTTTGACTTTGCAACATTATGGTAGGAAGAGTGATCGAAATGTGAGTGTGTGTGTCAACTGTAATAATCAAAACTGCCCTCGGGGAAAGTGAAGCATAGCCTTGCAGGCACGGAGTCCCTGTACAGCTCCCTGCCAGGCATCCGGAAGTGTGAACGCAGGCGAGCATCTGCTGAGTGAGAACCTGGGGGCCTGCTCTGTGAGGAGCTGTCCACTTCCTTCTGTCTGTGACTTTGCCCTGAACTCGTGGTCCACATCCGTCAAGATGCTCATAAACTTTTAAGGGATGTTCTCCAACACGCTGCAGGTTCTCAGCCCTGGAGACTGTCCATGCAGGATTTCTTCTTGCTCCCTTCGTCTGTCATGCCGGGCAAAGTCCTTCTGGGATTGCTAAGGCTTCAGAGTCAGGTTTCAGGCTACTTGCACACTTGGTCCCTGAGGCAATGTTAGTACTATAAGTCAACTCAGGCTTTCTGGGTTCTTAAATGATGACCAAACACTTTGTGTAAAGTAAAGCAGGAACAAGATCAAACTCCTGAAGTGCTCTTGTGATGTGCAGTAATCCCGCCGTAAACACTGAGGGAGAAGCATCAGAAATGCAGTTTGGATGACACAGTGCTCATGGTTAAAGCTCCACATGTAGCAATTACTATGTGGTAGGAAGCCCCTCGGGCTTTGATCGTGCAGGGGTGAGCAGCAACACCAACAACAAAATCGAAAAGACCAGGTCACAGGGACTGTCTCTGACTTGAACTCAGTGGCTGGCTCTATGACCTACCCCCACCCCCCACCCTGAGGGCGGAGCAGCCTTGCTAGGCCACAGAGGAGGACACTGCAGCCAGTCCTGAAGACACCTGATAAACTAGGGTCAGATGGAAGGGGAGGAGGTCCTCCCCTGTCAGTGGACTTAGAAAGGAGCAGGGAGGAGGTGAGGGAGGGAGGGTGAGATTGGGAGGGAATGAGGGAGGAGGCTATAGCTGGGATACAAAGTAAATAAACTGTAAATAAACTAACATAAATAAATAAACTAATAAAAGTAAATGAACTAATATAAAAAATAAAAATTATTTCTACCACTTCTGAAAGAAGGAAGAAAAGAAGGAAAGAAAGGCAGAAAGAAAGGAAGGAAGGAAAGAAAGAGAAAAAAGAAAGAAAGAAGGAAAAAAGAAAGAATGAAAGAAAGGAAGGAAGGAAGGAAGGAAGGAAGAAAGAAAGAAAGAAAGAAAGAAAGAAAGAAAGAAAGAAAGAAAGAAAGGAAGGAAGGAAGAAAGGAAGAAAGGAAGAAAGAAAGAAAAGATCATGTCGGCTGGATCTTATGTTCCAGAGGAATACGCACAGCAAATGTTAACACTCAGAGGTACTGAAAGTGAGAGCCACTAGATGGCGCACGTTGCTGTCTCAACTTCACTTTTGAATCAGGTAATGCTGCTGAGTTGGAGAAACATCAGTAAAGATGTGTTTGGACAGATTCAGTAGGATTTCACTCCTATCTCTTGCCTCCTTCTTTGGCTTCTTTTCTTCTCGCTCCTTTTTCTGTACTGCTTGCGTGGTCAGGGGTATGTTTAAGACATTCATGTGACAACATACTGCACCGGTGCCACTCCCTCCTAAGTCAGAAAGAGCCTCTCCTCTCCTCCTAGGCCATTTTGTTTTCTGTGAATATTGGTTTATTATCTTTATTCACAAGACAGTTACCTACTTCCCAATTCTTTGAAAAGTGATTAAACAATAATTAACTTTTTTTAATGTGCAAGAGTGTTTTGCCTGCATGTACCTATGTGTACCATGTATCTGCCTGGCGCCCATGCAGGTCTGAAGGAGACATCAGATCCCCTGGAACTGGAGTTAGGGATGGCGGTGAGCTGCTGCCGGTGCTGGGACTCAAACCTAGGTCTCCTGGAAGAACAGCCAGTGCTACTGAGCACCTATCTATCTAGCTCTTACTTTCCAATTCTTGTTGGTGTTCAACAAAGATTTCTGAATAAATAATCCCTGTCGCTTAGGCAACTGTGGTTGCCTGTGATCTTACCCAAATTCCTAGGGAGACTGTTTCTGCCCTAAGCCGGGAAGGTCTCTGTGATGAGATGTGGGAGAGTGTATCGGTCATTCCTTTTAGGGACTCGCCTCTTCTGCGCCTTCCTCTACAGTGGTAAGGGCATGGGGAATGTATATGAATTCCCTGTGTTGGTTAAGTGTTTGACATTGTGAACTTTGGGCCACATTTCTTTCCTTTCTGTTGGGACCAAAGGGTGATACATATTGGTAGACCTATGTTGGTGTCCACAGGGACTTAGCCAGTGTGGGCCATGCACCTTTGTTACTCCAGTGCCACCACCCCAGTGAGGACTAGCTAAAGAAAAGAGGTCTGAGCCACCTTCACAGAGACTGGGTGCAAGGAAGACTTGTGTGCTAGGGTATTCTGAGATTTGTGGATCCTAAGTTCTGCCAGTCTCTGTTTTTAGAGTACTTTTTAACATCGACATTTCATGTGTTGCAGCTAACTATTTCACTTTTTTTCTAGTTGCTGTAGATTTTTGCTAGAGACCAGTTCCAGCACACAGGGTGAACCAAGATGGGTCGCACTGTCATGAGCTGTTTCTGTGTGTACTTTAACTCTTAAACTTCCAGCCTGGTAGCCTTGCAGCTCCCTATAGAAACTTTAACTCTTAAACTTCCAAGGTGGTAACCTTGCTACTTGGGGCTGCCTTTATATATAGTTTAAATCTATACATACAATGTAACTCTATATACAGTTTAACTCCCAGAGGCTGCTGGTATTCCTTTAAAGGAAGAGAGAGGTGGCAGGGAATTGAACACTGAACTTTCAGACTCAGGAGCTGAAGCTTCATCAATTGAGCTATCTAGGCCTTCTGATTTCTCTGCTACCAAAAAAGCTCTCTGGCTAAAAACTTTTATTGTTTAACAGCAGAGGGTCTTAATAAGTTAAGCTGGGTGGCCCCTTTAACTTAATGGCTTAGCAGCGAACAGTGGCTTGCTGGGAACTAGAGTCCTAATTAAGAAGGCCGATAAGATGCTCTGGATTGTTTATCACTTACTAAACTTACTAAACCTACAAGCACAGAAGAACATACACAGCCGGCAGACAAAGCAGGCAGATTTTTACAGACCTCACACACACATGCACACACACAATCAACAAACAAAACAAAGGCATTCCCAAAGACATCATTCCTCCACATATATGTAGACATACAGATAAATATATATCTACAATATGTACAGTCAGTTAGACAGACAGACACATTTTGGATGAAGTG